TGAGCGGCTGGAATTAGTCCCAACAATTCCTCAGCGCACTCTCCGTGGTAGATGCGATAAAATACGCAAAGAAATGCAACATCTCTTCGCAGTGCCAGTGAGTCTAGACAATCGGAAAAAACTCGGTCTTCGACGATTCGAGCTGCTCTGTGCTGGATGCGGTCAAATGGAAGGAGCTGGCAGTGGGGAGCCCCCGCCCAGAGATGGGAACAGTATTTATCTAAATGTCTCCGAAAATATAAATGATGTAAAATTTTGTTTGAAGCCTAATTAGTAATCTTTCTAATATATAAAGTTAATGTTTGTTTGTTCGTATTTTATGCGCTTCAATAATACCTACCGTTCGTCAGATTGCAGTAAAACTTTGTCAACATATTGTAGACTTGTGCGAAGGTTATAGGCGTAATGCAAGTACAAGTTTACACTAGGTGGCGTGCATATCGTAAAAAACAACAAATTACAAATTTATTTCAAAGTTATAAATCAATAATTTAATTAAACAATATAACTCTATATACTCTATACTTCTAAATTTAAAACTATATTTTCACAATTATCTCTTCTGCGGCTGCAACGCGCCGTGTACTAGCTAGTAAATAATAAAATAGTAGGTTCTATACAGTAACCTCTATATATAACAATCTATTGTTATCCGTTAGTCTCGCTAAAACTGGAAAAGGCTCGAAAGATTTTGACGAAATTTTTTGTATGCGTTTGAATGGGTTCCTGGATGGTTTATATATGGATATCACAGAAGTCAACGTCAACCCGGAACAGCCGATCGGGTGTCATAATAATTAACAGAAAAACATACAAAAAAAATTGCTTATTATTTTAAAAGTACAGGCATTTACTTAAAAAAATCGAGAAATTCATTTAATTCCTATTGCTTTAATTTTTAACTTAATCTTGTCGGCTAAATTTGTAAATAATGGTCGATTCACCGTTCTGATAACCCGAACCTCTTTAAGACTTTGAAGACTGTCTCATAATATGAGGGCCATAGGAGCCACGCTTGGCAAGCGGGTTATTAACCACAGGTTTTAATTTTTACTGAGATGTTGTCAGAAAGATGCTGCCACCCATATCCTGGTTCAGTTTCCGTCAATCGCTTTTTACGACACGTACGGGGTGATATGGGTAGTGGCTTTGTTACCACTACACGGCTATTAAATTACTTTAATTATTTATTCAAAAGCAAATCATGTCTTTCACACACGGAACATGTACTAGAATATTCGCAATGATAGAAGTCTACCGAAGTCAGGGGAATAAACCTAGAATAATCGGTGTGTCTTTGTTATCTGATCAACGGGTAATTGGGATGTTCAAATTTTGCGGTTTTCGGACCCGTTTGCATTCATCTGCAGTCTCGTCATCATTTTAATGTACCTATTGTAACAGAGCTCAAAAAGGTTAAGAACCATAAATTGTCCTTATTCCACTTGTATCTGGTTCACAACAGTGAATTCCTTATCAACTAATCCCTTCCCGCTTGGAAAAGGCTCACAATATTTATATCAAATACCAGCTACAAGCTACGGTGAGCGCCAACCATTTTAATGCGCTCCCCCCGAAGGGTACGCTAAGTTGGGAACTGGACCGTAGTCCACAGCAAAATAATTGGCGAACCAGTAAAAGAGGACTTGGCCCCTTGACAGTGCGTAAGCACAAACATCGACCGAAGTCGCGCATGTCAATGCGTGTAAACGCCATACAGAATACGATCAAATCCAGCCACATATTTGCTTTATTTCATAGACCATACTACTGTGTCTTATTCATATGGGACTTCAAGTCATAACTCTGCTATCATAATGCTTATGCATCATAGAGACCTTCTATATTAATGCTTTGGTTCGTTAGACCTTACTATGATAAGTCCCTAATATGGGACTAGTCATTGTGCAACCTTAGTACTAGCAGTCGGTCAACCGACCACCCCATATATATGTACAACCTTGGGTATGTGTCTCCGGCAACGCCCCAATATAAGGGAACATTACAAGAACACGTTCATCAACTTCAACAATATTCATCAACAATATAATCGCCTTGTATTTATATGATTTGATACATTTTGAACATTTTAAGCAGGTTTTTAATAAATTTAGAGATTTTTAGAGACATTTTATGCGTTTACTAATATTATAATATTCAATATTCCAAATGGATATTTTTGAACTTTATGCTTATTATTTGCATTTAATTGTTTAAATTATAATTTCTATGACATTTTTAAATGTCTGTATAATGAATTTAATTATTATTTATTAATAATAATTATGAGGCGTCACACTATCATATTATATTATGTATATTATATTATATTTGTTTGCTCGACCGTGGAAGGACCACGCTCTTACAGAATACCAACGTAAAATAGCAGCTTAGTGCAGCTGTATTTTCTGCCGACTTTCAAAAAGCAGACGGTACTCAATTCCACTGTATGTGTTTTTTTTAGTGTGTGTTACCTCATAACTTTTTACTGGGTGAACCGATTTCGACGATTCTTTTTTTGTTTGAAAGTTGGTACTTTTCGTGTGGTCCCATATGAATTTGATCAAGATCAGACGAATAGTTTTTGAGTTATTCTTAATTGAAGTTAGCTGTACAATATTTTTTTAATTTTAAATTATGTGTGGTGTGTGTAGAGAACCAGAGATCCTTGTTACTCGAAACGAGACATTCCATTTTAGTTTTCAGAGATCATAATTAGCGCATCTGCATTTATTAAAATGCAGATGCGCTAATTATCTTAATAGAGGAGGATAGCTGTAGATGTCTATGGGACACAGCATCCACTTACCATCAGATGAAATGTGTGCTCGTTTGTCACCTTTATTCTATACAATATATAAATTCATTTTAAATAGGTAGGTTCATGACAATATGATAATCACAATTACATTTAATTTAATTAAATTTTCGCTAGGAATATAATGCAGAACCTACACGCGACAGAAACGACTCATTCCAGTAACAATGCAAACGCGCTGATAAACTTAGTTCGATATTTGGTTATTTTACTCTTGGGTTATAGAAGCTTAAAAAACAAAAGCTGGCTGGCTGACAATACTAAAATTACATAAAGTCAGTCACCTTTTCAATCTAAAATAAAACAATATACAGTTCAAGAGCATTACAATAATCAAAATTACAAAGTAAACACTTTATTTACTTTATAAAAAAACACTTCAGTCCTAACAGCTTTAAAAAGGTTCATACCTTGTGAAAATAATTCAATGTGGTCATCATTCTGCATCAATTGCTGTTTGGTCAAAGGTTTGGTGAGGAAGGCATCATGCAGAAATAAAGCTACAATTTTTGTGAAAAAGGAAGAAAGAACGACTTTAGTCATAAGTTATCTGAGGACAGTCTTTGTCTTTGACAGTGTAGTGAATCCTGACAGTGATACACTTTTCAAATGTGTACCATGGACTTTCCAGCAAGACTATGCTAATGGTTACAAGGCACGAACTACTCAAACCTAAAAACTTCATAAAAGCTGAACACTACCCCGCATTCAGTTCCGATCTAAAAACCATTTGGATTACAAATTGTGGTCAGTACTCGAAGACATGACCTGCTCAAAAAAACATTGAGTTTCTGAAGAAATATTTATAGCTAGCAGTGATTACATTCCAAAGAGAATTTCTTGTGCGTAAACATCGTCCACAGATTCGTGGCCAGAGTGATTAAAAACCTGTACCAAAGGCAAACACGGTTGTTTGATTATTTTTATTTATCTCTTAGACTTCGATTAAATAAAACTTATGTCAACAAAGTTTTATTATTATTAGTTATAACACTGGTTCTTTAAAAAAAAGTTATGTATTTAAATGTACAACAGAACGTATCGCACCGTAGGAACGAACTATTTTTAATACATATATTTTTTTTTTCAAAATAGAAGCCTTGTTAAGGTCAAATAATCAATAACCAGTTTGCAAATTACGTAGAACTGATAATTAATGATAGACACTCTAATACGTTTTATTTTTATTTTATAGTGATGTGTTTAGTTTAGTTGCTAGAATTAAAAGTAAATTTATTTTGTTAGCTTGGCTTATACGACTTGGCTTATACATACGTAGCTCAACCCCGTATAAGATACCTTTATAGTGTAACAATTTTAATTGTTAACTATAGTTTTAAGTGCAGTCTTAAATATGCTAGATAATGTAGAAAATGATGGTAAGGAAAGTGAACTATAATTTGAAAGATATTAAAATGTAGATATGTACGATCTATCAAACCTCGCGTCTGATCTACCGCGGCTGTTATATTTTAAAATAAATAAACGATTTTTATATTTACACGAATACTGTAAATCGAATATAAGTAATTTTTATAGCTTTTATCTTGTTATGTTCTGATATAATTATCGAAATCTTGTCCTTTTGAGGTTCGGTCATAGTTTAGTCCCGTCGCGACCGCATTTAGGACCACATATTATGAACTCTGTGACTATGGTTGAAAATCGAACTGTCGGGATTTCGTACAAAATAAAATTAAACGCGATAAAATGAATATAATTATATGCATTAAATATTGCCAACATTTAAACATACCTACAAACAAGTTGACACTAAGTTAAACAGATAATAATTTTAGTAGGTAGGTACGTATAAATCCTTATTATTGTAATTGAAGAAAAAAAATCCACTCCTTTTGGCGTTTATATCTGTTCTACATCTATTCGTTGCTAGAACATGTTCGGCCGTATTTTCCTTTATATTGTCTGTTTACCAAGTGAGTTATAGCGAGATATTTATATTTAACTTGTTTAGTATTTTGTATGAGGTACCTACTTTGATTACTTTAAAGAAACCGGTCAGCAACGTCCATGATAAAAAGATACGTCTTGTCGTCTGACGTATACCAACATCAGGTATAAATGGGGATATAATACGTATGTCGAGACTCTCGACTCGAGAGGGCTCTTTCGAAACTGGATGTGATAGTTGCATAGTGCAAGTTATAGAAATTATATAGTCATTCGCAATCCGAAGCCGAGGAGGTGAGTCGTGTTGTTTTTTTTTTATTATTTTTATCGCTCGATTTAAGAAACAAAGATAATGTGCTCATAGATACAGCCAAGGTTATTTATGTTTTTATTGATAGGAAAAAAAATGGTGATAATATTTAGTTTGTTTAAACAACATCCATGAATTTACTTTTTATATCTGTTTATTAAACAAAGTTATAATATTTTTTCTTTTCATATAAAAACTATTTTACAAAGTTTTAACTTAAATTAGGCTATATGTATAACTTGGATATAATTTTTTTGTTTTTTCTGTAGTTTTAGAAATAAGTGAAGCATTTTGTTCGTAATAATTTTTAATAATTGAATCGAACAAGCCATTTACTTTATCTTAATCATTATTAAGGTACTTTAATTTTCATACATCTTTACATCCATAGCATATTTTACACTTTGTCATTTGAGAGGCTTCACAGGGCTTAAGAATAGTTAAAACGTCAATCTTTTCTAATACAATCTTTCGTATTATTGAACAAAAAGAAATGTCACCCATCATATGAAACACCTGCAGTGCCTTTTCCGTTTCTTTGCCGTAGAAGTATTATGTTGCTTTTCAAGCAAACATTCTGTGCGAGCGGGGTCCTTTCCCATCGAGTCGAGTCGACCCATTCATACCACAATCACAATACAGCTGCAGCGTAGCTTTACCATGTTGAAGATTGAAATATTGGAAACTATTTTTATTTGTGTATGGGTTGCTTCTTATAATTTCGAATTAAAAAAAACATTGCGCAACTTGGGGCTGTTACATGCCTTCGTTCTTTGTTTGTAAGCACATTCTCTACGTTTTGTTATTCCATAGTTACATATGAATATTTTAAATATTATTTAACTCATGCATGTGATTCACGAGGGGATATGCCGAGTCCGAAAAGCAACGAGCTAGTTGGACTACATTTAGCCAAAAATATGGCTAGACCATCGCCTACACCATCACAAATCTCATATCTTTTACGAATTTCTAGGCGCCACATTTTTATAGGTCCTATAAGATGTTAAAAGATTATTATACTTCTATGTATATATGTATTCATGAGTACATAATATCCATATATGTATGTAGGTGTGTTAAAGATAATTGGTATATACGGGTGATTAAATATTTGTTTGATTCGATTAATATAATATGCATTTGTGTTATTTATAAGCTTAATTTTAATATGTGTTATATCTATGTCTCTTTATTTAGTTAAATTTTACCTTTATGGTTAAAACAATAAAGCTTATAAATAAATAAATCAGTCCCAGATCAACATGGTACAAATGTTTCAAACGAAGTCGGTATACATCTTTTTTATTGAATTGAGGGTACATACTACATAGTCCACTAGATGGTAAGTGGACGTTGTGGCCCACAGACACCCTCCATCTAATCTCCTGTTGTCATTCCTGAGGACTAAGATGAAATGCCTCTTTACCAGTAAATCAGGTCGTCAGTTCTCGTAATTCACGCGATTACAATCTACAGCATTATAATGCACACTGGTGCACACTGGTGTTCTGTGCAAACGTGGTGCTTCTTGTGCACACTGGTTTTCTGCACTTAAAAGCACTTGTGCTTCTTCTGCACACTGGTGTTCTGTGCAAATGTGGTGCTGTCCTGGTTGAGCCGTTTTACGTGCTGGAGCCATAATAAATTGCACTTAACTGTTCTACTTTTGAACGAGATGTATTAACAAGTCTTGTGTATTGAATTGAGAGTTTCTTTTATCTATAAATTTACAACATAGCGCCTGAATCGTTTTTTAGGGGAGCCCTTATATTGACTATCCAGTAGTCTGTTCTATTTAAGTCATTCACGTATACTTTATATATACATGTAAAATGCACTTTTACATTATTTATTCACAAAATAATCAAATTAAGATAAAAAAAATAGTTTGTTTATCTATCCCCCTGGCATAAAACACTGATGACATAAAAACCAATCTTGTAAAAGGACTTCTGTTCCGTTTATTTCTAAACAATAGCTCTCTAGTAATTATCATTTCAATCACCGCAAATAGATTTTTTGTTAACAAAATTATTGGATTTGTTTTCCTAAATTATCTTAGAATTATTTATTAAGTATTGCTTAGATTCAATGTCATGTATGGATAATTTTGCTCGCTCAGATTGTGTCATATTTAGCGCGATAGGAGATTCAGGTGCTTTTTTAACTTTTTTTTATGTGTCCTCATAACTTTTTTCTACGGAAACTGATTTTGATGATTCTTTATTTATTTGAAAGCTGGTGCTTCTCATGTGGTCCCATATAAATTTGATCCAGGTCTGAACAGTAGTTTTTGAGTTATACTTAATAATTTGTATTGAAGTCGGTTGTACAAAATTTTTAATTTTACCACTTGTTTTACTTCTTATAAGCCAGAGTTTGACCGCAACCCCACTTGGTGGTAAGTGGTGTGAAGCCCTGGATGGTAAATATCACTGTCTCAGCGTAATAAAAACCTATTCACTTGTATTCGGACGGAAAGACAGACGCCGGCAAATTATTCCACTCCCAACGCAGAAGCAATTAGAAATGTCAATAGAAGATTACGCTTAATTAAGCTTTGATTGGTTTTTTATCGTTCTTCACTTCGATGTTATTGACTTCGTTTGACATTTATACTGTGTTTGAAAAATTATCATAACTTACTGTTGATTTTTACTTCCTTTTTGTTTTTGATAATTTTGTAGTCAATAATGTATGCATATAGATATAGTTGTACAGATTTAGGCACGTAAAATATATGAAAAATTAAGAATTATTATATGGGACTGAGCTGTGTTTTTGTATATTTTGTTTTTAAAATTGTGAATTGGCAAAAGTGCTAACAGTACACCCGATTGTAAGTAGTCCAGTGGAAATGAGTTATTTTTTTATAGATATAGAGTGACAAACAAGCACAAAGTCCACCTAATGGTAAGTGGTTACTGAGGCCCATATAGGTAGTATAGTTGTAGCACGAATGGGTCGGCTCAATCGGGGAAGGACCACGCTCTCACAGATTACCAGCGTAAAATAACAGCTTACGAGTAATACTGCTGTGTTTCGTATGGTGAGTGTAGAGAACCGGAGACCCTTTTTACTGTAAAAGAGGCATTCCATCTTAGTCCTCACGGGCTGACAACGCATCTGCATTTCATAGATGTAGATTCTATGGGTCACAGCAACCATTTACCATCAGCTGTGTGCTCGCTTGTGACCCTTATTATATATTAAATAAAAGGTGACCACACATCCGTTGCCTACTTTGTACAAAGATGGAGGCAGTTGTTCTGTCTATGATTTGCAATAGCCTCGTACTGTGAAGTAGACAGATAGCTCGTTTGTCATTAATATTTAAAAAAAACCTTGTACGATCGATCGTTATCGTACTTAACATTTTAAATTAACCATTGACCTATAATAGGTAGGTTCTATTTTAAACATGTTTTCGCAGCAAACCTTAGTTTAGTATTAATATATATTAAAAATATATTAAACTAGTTGTTCCCTGCGACTACGCCCGCGTGGAGTTTGTTACAATTAGATTTCATAAGTTTTAATTTTTTTTGCACGGAATCCTAATTCTTTTACTAAAATAAAAGTAGCTTAAGTTACTTCTTATAACATCAGCTATCTGCCAGTGAAAATCCTGTCAAAATCGGTCCTGCCGTTTCGGAGATTAGCCGGAACAAACAAACAGACAGACTAAAAATCGTGTTTTTGTTATAAGTACCGTATATACTTTCATATGCATATAGTAAGAAGCTGTTATTTCGACATTACAAACAGACACTTCAAATTTATTTATTTGTATAGATGTATAGACTAGCTGTTCCTCGCGACTTCGCCCGCGGGTTAGGGTCTTTATGTTTTTGCGCGGAACCCTAATTCCTTTTCTAAAATAAAAGTAGCCTAAGTTACTCCTTATGAAATCAGATATCTACCAGTGAAAGTCTTGTCAAAAACGGTCCAGCCGTTTCGGAGATTAGCTGGAACAGACAGACAGACAGACAGACAGACAAAAATTTTAAAAATTGTTTTTGTTATAGGTACCGTATATACTTTTATGTGCATTTAGTAAAAAGCTGTTATTTTGACATTAACAACAGACACTTCAATTTTATTTATTTGTATAGATAGATAATATAAAGCTGCGTTTGCTAACCCGCCTGCCATACGTGGTAACTATGGAACATGAAGCAATCTATGCGGGAGGCTTACGTTTAGAAGTGGACTTTTATTAGACCGATGGATCCATATAATTAAATTTCCATTATACAACAATTTGACGTGAATGAAAATCGATTTGCTATATTTGTTCACGGACATCTAGCTATGTTAAGTACAATAAAGTATGTACCTACATACTTTGTTGAAAACGTGAGTGAAGTGAAAGCGAATCTCGCTAATTAATAAAATTATATGTTATTAAACTCGACTTTTTTTTTAATAAGTATCGTAAATACTTACATATGCATTTAGTAATAAGCTATTGACATTACAAACAGACACTACAATTTTATTTATCTATCGACTTTAAAAAGGAGACGGTACTCCATGCGACTGTTTGTTTTTATGTGTTTTACCTCATAACTTTTTACCGAGTGGACCGATTTCGATGATTCTTTTTTTTTTATTTGAAAGCTTGTGCTTCAAATGTGGTCCCGTATAAATTTGATCAAGGTCTGACCAATAGTTTTTGAGTTATTCTCAATAATTTATATTGAAATGGGTTGTACAAAATTTTAAACTTTAAATTATTTGTATACATATATTAGATTTATAAATGCATATATAATTATCTTGGTAGCATTTACTTAAATTAAAAATTAATAATATTTTAAGTAGGCGGTAGCACGCATTTTCTGCCTAAAAGGCCGTCTTTATAGTCAACCTACAACCCTTACCCATTTCTTACTTATTTCTGCCAGCAAATGGCAGTGCTTGCACAGATGTGTTCCAGTCTGAAGGCTACAGAGCCAGTATAGTTACAGGCTGTGAGGCATTCCATCTTAGTCCTCATATGTGACAATGCTATTGCAGCCTACTTTGTGTGAAGTTGGCTGCAGGTGCCCATGGATGGTAGCCACTTACCATCAGGTATATTGTAAGTCCGTTTATCAATTTAGTTTTAAAATAATTTATAATTAAAAATTTAAAATTTTGTACAGTTGACTGCTGAATAACTCAAAAACTATTGGCCTGACCTTGATCAAGAATCATTGAAATCGGTTCACCCAGTAAAAAGTTATGAGGTAACACACAAAAAAACATATAGTCGAATTGAGTATCGTCTCCTTATTGGAAGTCGGCAGAAAAATTGCTGAATTTTCTTACGAACTCTTATGAATATTTTCAAATTTAAAATTTATATATACGATTGCGAGTGGAAATATAAAACTTAATTATTAGTTACGTATTAATTAAGTAATCTTTGACGAAATCAAACCTTGTAGTAGTACCATAGCAGGTTATGGAAAAATATTCTTCGATTGGACATAGCGACACTTATTTCTTTGTGGCATCGATGTAGCAATAATACCGCATGATGAGATTCTACTTGTCAGTTTGAATTAATGATGGGATCATGGTGACAACTCTTAAATAAGTTTAACTTGTACACATTAGTCAGCATGGCAAAATGCCAAGCTAGATTTTACCTTGACGGGATGAAATAGGAGACGTCATCCCGCGCGAGAATATTTGAAAGTTGATCATTAGGGGATAAAACCATTGTTAGTGGTCGCGGCACGCGGTCGGCGGAAATGGGAGGTTTTATCTTCGGCAAACCATCTGCGAGCGGTTAATGCAATTTAAGAGTCGCAGGTACAATTACAACTCATCCAGACAGTACAAACGTTGTGTCCGACTAGGATTAGTGTCCAGACCCCATGATTTAAAATTTATTTTAGATGTTGAGTCCTTCTGTTCCCTTACAAGTACTAAAAGCTTACGTGTTTTGATAAAATATTTTTATTTTACGAGCTTTTAATGTTATCACAAATCTAGTAGAGTGGAAACGTGAGGAATTTTCGTTTGGGCTAGCGTTATTTATGTTAGATTTTATATAAACTCTAATTTATTTATGTTAAATTTTATATAAAATCACAGAAATAACGCTAGACCAAACTACCTAGATTCCTAATAAGATGATGGAATACTGGAAAATAGAAGAAAAAAGCCACAACCATAATGAATGCTATAGTTTCCAGTCTTTATGATAGCATTGTTGACCTAGTTTTTGAAGTTGACATAATCTATACAAATAAATAAAATTGAAGTGTCTGTTAGTAATGTCAAAATAACAACTTTTTTCTATATGCATATGAAAGTATATACGGTACTTATAACAAAAACACGATTTTTGAAATTTTTGTCTGTCTGTCTGTCTGTCTGTTTGTTCCGGCTAATCTCCGAAACCGTTAGACCGATTTTGACCGGACTTTCACTGGCAGATAGCTGATGTTATAAGAAGTGACTTTGTCTACTTCTATTTTAGAAAAATAATTAGGGTTCCGCGCAAAAAATTAAAACCCATGAAATCCAATCGTAATAAATTACGCGCGGGCGAAGTCGCGAGGAACAGCTAGTATATTATATAATTTAAATTAGATGTGATATTTGTTGCAGTACAATAAGACAAGATGATGTACTTATTACTACTTGCATCTGCCGCTGTGCTAGTGTCAGCTCACCATGAACATGTAAGTATATTCCGTGTACAGTCGGCTGTAATTAAATGTGACATATACTAATTAAGTTTGTTTTCAATAAAAGCGTTTAGGTATTGCTCAACCTAAGCCTATTTATTGGAAGAATTATTTTAATACGATATTTCTAACTGTTTATGTTGCCATTATGTTGATGTTTCACGTGTCACTTAAAAGAATAAAAGCAAAATCGATGGTTCATTAGCTCTGTTATTTATTATTTTTACATATTATGTTTAGAGTGAGTTAAGTTAATGTTGAGTTAAGGTGCCGGTTCCACACATTGGTCCCATCATTGGTACCAACTCTAGTTAGTAATTGTGTTCGATCTAGTTGGAGCAATATGAAAATGTTTGATTTATGAATTGTCGTAAGATATTTAGTGCATAATATCACTATTTTTGTATTGAAATAAATGTGTATTTTTGTATAACCATCTTGGTCGAATGAAGTACGTTCACAAATCTTAACATGTGGAAGCATTGCAAATATTGGTGCGTATTTTCTTTGTAGATATAGACCGAACAACTACTAACGTTTGTGCTAGTGTTGGGGTGAACGCTATTTCGTCAATCTACATGTTTGGCGAATAGTATTAGGGTCAGCGTTAGGGTCAATGTGTGGAGCCAGCCTTATAATATTAAAAACTTGCATTTCTGCCACTTGCAATCTACAACTTCAGTCTGAATATTTTAGTCTTTTATTTGTCAGGTGGTTGTCGCAGTTTATTAGATTTTCGCGGAAATTGTCTTTATCGATTTTTACAACATTTTTTGATTTATACGGTACAAAGTGCAGAGATTCTAACAAATGCAACTTTTTTCATATATTCGTAAAGAATTTTAATTCCAAGTTGTAGTAAGTCGCCAGTATCAGTTTAATTAATACATTGACGATTTTTGGTATAAAACTAGTTTAACTTTGCTTTACCAACATTATAGGTGTTCGATGTCAAAATTCGGGATCACCTCGTTGAATAACAGTGTGTAACAACGACAAACGTTGTTTTCAGAGTTGATACTTCACCACTCAACCACTAAATCGATTACCGTATTTAATAAACATTTTGTTAATAATTCGACCACACCACTCCACTCTAACTAATCGACGCCTCCTATCCGTTCCACATTTTGTGATCTTCTTCTTTGGCACTAATCCAACATATATTGTGAATATAAGTCATTCTGGTCCATAAATTTGTAAAGAACTTGACTGCAGAGCGACCTCTTGCATCGTAGTTATGAACAATTTTCTTGATAACAAAATATTGTGTGAGTATGAACTCAATCCATTTGTCTGTCAAGCCGTTCAGAAGTTACACGATTACTAAAACCAACTATTAATAAAAAAATACTTTGCAAACTCTAATTAGTATTAACTTTTCAGGCAGGTCAATTTAAGGCCATAGTGAAATTGGCAGAGCCAAATGGTGGCCAGGTTAACGGTAACGTGACCTTCACAGAGTTGACCGACGGCAAGGTTCACATCCAAGGTGTGATTGTTGGCATGCCACCTGGACACTACGGTTTTCATATTCACGAGAAAGGAGATATTACAGATGGATGCGGCTCAACCGGGGCACACTATAACCCTGAACACGTAAGTTTTTTAGGTTTAATTTCTCATGGATGTATTTGGAAGTGATCAAGGTTTTTTATATCACCACGGGTGGCGAACAAATGGGAAGCCTTAACAATGGTAAGTTGAAATGACCTTTTTCCAACTTTTACGATGTTTCAAGAATTATGTAACCTTGATACCTTTCTCCACCATCTCAGCATACCTTTAGATTAGAATTAGAGAAAGGTATGCTGAGATGGTTTGGCCATGTCGAGAGAATGAATGAAGAACGATTGACGAAAAAAGTGTATAAGGCGAGTGTGAATGAAAGTGTTGGAAGGGGTAGACCTAGGCGGACATTTCTAGACCAAATCAAGGACGTCTTGAAAAAAGGCCAGGTCAAGAGTACCCTAAACCGTAGAGCATGTATGAAGGGAATAATGAAAGTGGACGAAGCAAAACAAGTATGTAAGGATCGTAGCAAGTGGAAATAAGTGGTCTCTGCCTACCCCCACGGGAAAGAGGCGTGATTATATGTATGTATGTATGATACCTTTATGAGGATAAGATGAAATGTCTGTTTTCAGTAGTTTGGCTTCCGTTTCATGTAACCTTTTGTACGAAGCGAATCAGTACAACTCTTATTTTATCCTTACCTTAGACTCTTATAAATAAATAAATAAAGTAAAAAATTACAATAAAGTAAATGACAGCTTAAATAATAGTCCATTGTCTTTAGACACAAACGGTTTCAAAGCAGTGTTAGAAGCTTAACTTTGAATGCGTCTAAGTCTAGGGTATATAGGATCAGAGAAAAAGAAACACAAGGAATTTTACTATCATCATGTTATAAAAAGACAAGTTACTCGGAACCCTTGAACTTAGAAAGCTGAAATATTGCACAGAGATTTCTTTTATAATATAGATAAGAAATAAGGAAGAATTTTTTGAAATTCCCACGGGATCAGAAATGAAGAGGTTATCTTTTTGCTTTAAAGTTGCCGTATTTCCGTAATTATAATTATTTGAGATTTAAATATGACATATATCTGGTTAACTATAATCAATAACAACTGTTTTCAGGATTTTTCCAAAATTCCCACGGGATTGGGAATAAGGCGGATTAATCTGTTAACATTAAAGTTGCCTTATTTCCGAAGCCTGCGTACACGGGTACACTATGCCCAGTAATAGCACACATGATACAGTACATCTATCCTAAAAAAAGTATAGTTTCTTGGGCAGCAACTATAAACAAAAATGCCGTAATTTCCGATTCCACGAGAGCATAGCCGCGGGCGGTTGGTCGACTAGTTAAAAAAAAAAAATTATTTCCATATTTTCAGCGCTTTGTTATATATTTTTGGAAGAAATAACCTACATTATATTTTATTTTTATTTATTTTTTTAATTTGCAGAAAGAACACGGCCACCCAAATGACGAGATTCGCCATGTTGGCGACCTGGGTAACATCGTATTCGACGAAAACCGCGTCAGCACTATTGACTATGTAGATGGAGTCATCAGTTTGACCGGCAAATACCCTATCATCGGCCGTGCTGTAGTTCTCCACGCTAAAGCTGATGACTTCGGCAGATCGAGCCATCCTGACTCTAAGAAGACTGGAAATGCTGGTGGTCGTGTCGCTTGCGGCGTCATCGGAATTTTGTAGGCGGTTGATTTATATCTTAAGGCATATGCACACGTGATCTAATTTTTGAAGAGGACGTGGGCCTTCTCCGGCTCAACTGGAGAAGGCCCACGTCCTCTTACAATATTGAGGTAAAAAGCAGCTTAATGCTGCTGTGTTTTTAACGAGTCATTCTACCTTAATCCTCAGAGGTGACATCGCATCTATATTTTAACTCTTTGTCAAAGATAATGTAGCTGTCTATGATCCACAGTATCCACTTACCATCAGGTGGACTGTGTGCTCGTTTGGCACAATTATTCTATAAAATAAATTTTAAATTTTATTTTCAGAGCAACAGCAGAAAAGTAGACTAATGTCTTTTTTAAAGGAAATCATTCTTTGCATTTTGTTTGTTTTAGTCCACTAAGCCGTTTTATAATAATTATATAATTAATAATTACTTCTTCACTTTAGCTGAACCGTGTGCATACGCTCTTGGTTGTAATATAGATTATGTAACGAACAAGATATTGGTTGTACAATTCTTTTTTTGTAAATTAGTTTCTGAAAATCAATTTTTGTGCTGAATAAATTCGCTTTCTTTTTTTTTGGCCTATTAAATCACAAGTTAAATAGAAGTTAAACATTAACAGTTATTAGAAAGAAGTACTATATGCAGAGGCTTTGCATCACAGCTGTAAGCAAGTTTGGCTTATATAGCATATCTGGTCTTAAAAGTCCTACGAACTTACAAAGTATCTACATAAATCACTTTTATATATTTTATTAGATTATGGCCTGGTAATATTTTCTAGTTTGTTTTGGAAGAGACAGTGACAAAAAGAAATATTTTTGAAGAATAACAGCAGAAAATATTAACATTATAAAACACTAGTTATATTGAAATCAAAACAAATATTATGCCGGATGTTAAGTCAAAAATTTTGTATCTGACTGTACATAAATAAATGAACGTCTTACGATTAATGTAAAAATGGATGCTATTTCTACTTACAATCGGGTGGACTATATGCTCGTTTGTGACTCTTAATCTGTGAGAAAAACCAGTATGCTGTAGGAAAGCCACAATTGGTAGAAATATTTACTATTGCCAGTGACAACCTTATTATGCTATGACACAATCTCTGGATATTTAATCTCATGTAGTTCTGCTTCTGACGTACAGTCTAGTGCAAATTAATACAGGTTGCATCTGCGAAAGTCGTGCGGGTTTCTTTGTACCCGTGTCTCGCCCGGCGGCAATTCAAGGCGCGACACATCCTAAAGGTCAAGATATAAAGTTATTGCGTTTCTATTAGATGCAATCGCGCACCTACTTACTATTATTAACTTCCCACTTTGAAAATTAATAATTTTCAAAAGTATGAAAGTTATAAATTTCGGTCCAATTTGAGAATGCGAGTTTTCATCAGATCTCCACGTTTTGAGGTCCTAGGAAGCCGTTCCGACTATTCTCTGCTGGGCGTACGGCCGTGTGTGCGCGTGTGTTTGTATATGTATGTATATAAATTAAAATTTTGTCGTGCGATATGTTTAGAACGAATCAACCGATCGAGATGGGCGACACGGCGTTCGAAAGTTAAGACTTCGAGCTGACTAGATTTTTAAGTCAATCGGTCGAGTCGTTTCAAAGATTTTTTGTTGACTGCAAATAAGATTTAAAAGTAATGCACTAAAAAGACCGAAACGAGATTGAGAATAGAAAACAAAATTAAAATAAACTATAAACTCTACTTCGGTATAACAGACTATAGTATGAGATGAAAGCCTAAGTAAAATACCCGTATTAGGTTTAGTAACAAGCGAAACCTATAAATTTTCTTTCGGTTTATAATTTGCGATTGCTTGATGATTTTTAGTGCATTACTTTTAAATTGTTTTTTTTTCAAGTTGGGTTATTGATGTTTTTAATTATTGATTTTATTTTAGACTTTTTTAGTGTCCCGACACACTCTTATGAACTAAATTTCATACGATAGGACGAGGTTCGACACAAACAGACGATTTTTACGCCATCAAAAACTTTTTAAACCAATTTATTATTCCTGATTAAATTTAAATACCTATATAACTTATATATATTTGTAATCCCCTTTTAATTTCCTTTATTTTGATACCCTACTCGATAGCTTTGGTATTTTTTTTTATAACGTATTACTATTTTGCGCCATAAATCCGCCATTTATATTTGTTTATTTTTTCAAACAGCGATCTAAGAACACTTGGGTTTTTAAGACAAATAATACAATATCTTGATTGTCGAAATCCATCCAGCCGTTTGGAAGATGCGAGGTAATAAAGAAATTTACAAACGTACAAGATACGCGTGAAAAACATAACCCTTGGCAGTCGGGTAAAAATAAAAAGGAAAATAACAAAAATCATATAGATTTTCGAGCGTTGCGCTCGCAAATAAACGGGATGGCATGCAGGGTCAATCGTTTTTCAGATATTTTTTTTATTACTAATATCGTATCTGGCGTGTTTATGATTTAATGAAACAAAGTAAAGCATACCTTTATTTATGTCTGGTAGTACATTGTACTCCACTAATTTTAGACCTATTTCTGTGCTGGTTTTGAACCAGAACAGAGGTTTTTCCCGAACCTACTAAATGGCCAGGTTTGTGATGAAGTTATCATCTATTGATTGAAGAGGTCTATCCATCCCGGGCAATTGCCACGAGTTAAGCAGTCAGAGGCGGGGGTTCGCACACCCCCACTCGGATAGCGGTTAGACAGCTCAAAAAATAACCTCAACAGAGGGGACATGATGATTGGTAACTGTACCAAATCATAAACCAATATCATCCTCATCCCCATCATTGCCTTTCCCTTTTCTAAATAGCTTATGGCCGAGCACTTACATCATAGAAAATAGAAGAATAATAGCCCAAATACTGTATTGGTATCTAAATGAAGAGATAAATACAGAAATATAATTCTGATTAGGCTATATATCGTGTCATAGTCTTTTGACATCGTGTAGTATTAAACCAATGTATAACGTTACATCGAGAGCAAGAGGCATCCGCACATGATTGCTTGATATTCAGCATTAATTAACACTCCAAGGTGAGGCGCTTTTGTACGACAAGGTTTGAAAGGGGCCCAATAGGTTACAAGCTATAATACTTATTTGTACCTGTTATGAACGCATTTTTAACCGGCTGCGGCAGAGCCCAAATTCAGCCGTCCGTATCTTATATACGAGTACAAGTACTAGGATTTCAATAAGCGATATCTCAATAGATTAGACATGTGACATAACCTTATCAAACACTATCGAATATTACGCCAGCATGAAATAAATATAGCTAAGATGAATTGTCAAAAATTTGAAAAATATCATATGTATCTTATAAAGGTTCAATGAGTAAAATACAAAATTCGTAAACTAAACTCTATGTATTCCTGCAATTAAACCGATTTCAAAAATTATATTTTATATTCCTGGCAAGTATGGCTAAATCGCCCCTAATATGGCAATCTATGGAGGCCATGTGTTCAGCCATGGACTTTTATAGGCTATAATAGAATAATGGATGGATTAGCGTTAGCACTGTTAACTTCGCAGTAGTCCCGCATCCGTTAAATTATGTTACAATATTATTTAATTGTGTGTCATAAGTCTAACCTATGCACTCTGTTTATCATAAAAGTCATTGTCGAAGTCATTGTGCTAATCTTTCTTATTTACTGTTTATTAGCTGATCATTTTACATCTAGCTTTCAGTCATACATTGTAGCTGACTTTTAGGTATAAATTATACGAATCGGGTCATAGAGCAGCGATTATAGAAAGATAGAAAGTACTCGTACGACTTCTGATTTTAATATAATAGCTAATTATATAAGTCTTAATTATATAAATAATAGTTAGCCCGATAGTTCGGCCCTTTCTGGTATTATCTGACATTTTAAGAACTCTACTTTAACCTCTTAATACCTAATAGAACCATCAGCAGCTATTTTTACTCTTCCGTAGGCATATAAAAATTGCTTGTATGTGTTAACCGTGTATAGTGGCGGTGTAAGAATATCCACTACCCTATATCATCCCGTGGGTGTCGTAAGAGGCGACAGAGGGAAGCAAATGAGGAGACGGGCAGCAGCAACTTGTTAACAACGACTATAATTTAAAATAAAAAATTTTGTACAGCCGACTTCAATATAAGTTATTAAGAATAACTCAAAAACCATTAGTCTGACCTTGATCAAATTCATATGGGACCACACGAGAAGTACTAGCTTTCAAATAAAAAAAGAATCATCGAAATCGGTTCTCCCAGTAAAAAGTTATGAGGTAACACACATAAAAAAAAATACAGTCGAATTGAGTACCGTCTCCTTTTAGGAAGTCGGCAGAAAACTAAGAAACTACGTGGTAGAGCCATGCTGCAGCTATATTATGGTTGTAGCACGAATGGGTCGGCTCGACCGGGGAAGGACCACGCTCTCACAGAAAACCAGCGTAAAATAGCAGCTTAATGCTGCTGTGTTTCGTATGTGGAGTGTAGAGAACCGGAGACCCTTTTTACTGGCAAAGAGGCATTCCATCTTAGTCCTCACGGGTCTGCATCTTGAGTCTTTATTGAGGATAGATGTAGATGTCTATGGGTCACAGTAACCACTTACCATCAGGTGGACTGTGTGCTCGTTTGTCACACGATCCTATAAAAAAAAAACTGCGTTTGCCGACCCGCTTGCCCAGCGTGGCAACTCTGGCAAATATTCCCCCTATGAATTAATAATCTATAGGGGATGTTTAGCCGTGAAATTTAGAATATAACGATAACGGTAATGTTGTACACAATTATTTACTGCCTACATACTTTGAAATAAATTACATTGAAAGCCATCCAGTAGTTTTTGCGTGAATCGTAAACTCACAGATTTTCTACAGGCATATTATATTTATAGTTTTATCATTTATAGATATTACTAAATAAAATTAGCATAACTACAAAATAGCAGAAAAGTTTCAATTTATACCAATTTTAAGCGTTTCTTTTAAGATTTTTAATTGTTGCATTTTTGAGAAATAAATGTCTGAATCGCATTAATAAAACAAACTCGAAAAGTAATGGTAAAAGCGAGTATAAAGGCGATAGTTAAGTTTAAGCAGGTAGGTTTATGTCCTCATTAAACTTCCCTTTATACATCAAAAGAGATAAAAGACCTTCAAGTAATAATACAGGGTATGTAAGAGTAGAATTTTTCATAGTACAAATATCATCTGTACTTTCACGCGGTGGATGCCCTTGTTTGCCGTACGAGGGCAATGTAAGCGACTGATGGCGTATATGAAAAATCTTGCATCGCACTTCAATTATGTCAAATCGAAACATAACAAAGCATAATCAGTGTGATCTCTCCACCAAGACGTTGCTCATTGAGGCACAGGTGACTTCAAAAATATATGCCTGCTGGCGTAATTTGCCGGCTATGAATTTAAAATGTCACACATCGTCCTTCAGGAAATTTTGATTACAATTTGATGATACGAGTGACCACTCAGCCATCTTTTTTATAGAAGAGGGGGCAAACGAGCATGCGGCTCACCTGATGGTAAGTGACTACCGCCGCCCATGAACAACCGCAACACCAGGGGTATTGCAGATGCGTTGCCAGCCTTTTAGAAAGGTTTAAGCTCTTTTCTTGAAAGTCCCTAAGTCGTATTGGTCCGGAAAAATCTCCGGTGGTAAACAATTCCACAGAGAAGTTGTACGAGGAAGAAAACTCCTAGTAGTTTTACTAGGAGTTTTGTTCCTGCTTCCTTCCAGATGGTGAGGATGGTATCGTGAATTTTGACGCGATGTGCATTCGTGAAATTTGGCGGCTGGAATTAATCCGAACAACTCTTACTTTTACTTTTAATCTTACTTTTGTCCCAGTAATAATAATTATATATGGCATAGATCTATTAACTTTTCACAAAATATCTTTTTAATCAGCTGATGAACATCCTCCCGAGACCAGACGTCTCTCACGTTTGTCGCTGCTACCTGTCGCCAGTCAGGGTACTTTACGACTGGCGTAAAGGAGACAACGAGAAACGGAGACCCTTTTTACTGGAAACGAGGCATTCCATCTTAGTCCTCAAGGGTGACAACGCATCTCCATTTTGATTCTTAATCGAAGATAGATGTGGATGTCTATGGGCCACAGCAACCACTTACCATCAGGTGGACTGTGTGCTCGTTTGTCACCCTTATCCTATAAAAAAAATTTAAAAATTTTTTGGAGAAAAATGAACTAACAGTTCACCTTATTTAAAAAAAAAAGGTTAGCTGTCATCCCTGAGGAGCTGAGGACTATAATAAAAAGTCTCACAGTTTGTAATCAGACTATATTACTTACCCTTCAAGGCAAAACACAGCCGGCAGTAGTAGGCGCATTGCTGTTTGGTGGTAAAAATAGGTAAGAGAGTGGTATTTATCCAGACAGAGTCCTAGGTAAAACGAACTTTATTATTTGTAACAGTGCCGGCAGACTTGAGCTGTGTTCTAAACTTAGTGATGTCGTAATTAGCAAATACGTGGTGGCAGCTAAGGGCATCCATCCAATACCATATAAATCTAAGGGCGTCCGACAGATAGCAGTTAATTTTTTTTATTGACCATGGATGAGAAAACGAGCACACAGTCCACCTGATGATAAGTGGGTACTAAGGCCCATATACATCTACATTGATCTTCGATTAATATTAAAAAACATATTTAAAAAAAAAATCGAAAACATGTGAATTTCGCCACCTCGCATTGGGCAGCGTGGCTGACATATCCTTGCCCTAAAACCTCTCAGAAATGAGAGGAGGCCTGTACCCAGCAGTGGCACTTATATAGGTTATATTTTAACTATAAGATTCAAAGTGCAGATGCTATATTCAAAGTACAGATAGCTGCAGCATGGCTCTACCACGTAAAATAAAATGTTGTGAGGATCTTTGCCCAGCTGTAGACTCAAAGAGGTTAAAGATAAAGTAACTAAAAACTACAGACACCACAAGGCATACCACTAGGTAAACTTGCGGGCTTGCGGTGGAAATATAAATTATTTATAAAAGAAACCAAATGACCACAGTAACATAACTTTGTATTAAAACTTTTAATTCAAATACAAATTTTTCATGCTACCACGCTTGACAGGAGGGCTTTTCTGTGAAATATTGAGGTAAGGAGGACTATCTCTGTGTATGAAAAGGTGTCCGTCGAAATGCGTTAAATTACAGTGGCGCTACAATTGCAGCAGTGTTAATTTTAAATTAATTTAATTTTAAATCAATAAATTTTTCTTTAAAATCAGAGAACAAAAGTTCATCAAAAACAAAATAATAAAAAAAATCACAAATGTCAATTTTAGATGAAAAAAATATTAAAATTAATCATAAAATTGAAAGTATTTTTATTGGCATAAAAAAAAAGATAGTCTACAACTACAACTGCTACATTCATACCATAGACTGTATCTACGCTAGCGCCAGTCTGGAAGGTTTTTGAACTGTTATTTACAGCTTCCAAATGGACACCTTTTCATCTTGTTTCCTATATGAGATAGTGCTTCTTACATCTACCCTCTATACTGTGAAAAAAGTAACTTTCAATAAGTATTATTTATAATCTATATTGAATAAAATAGTATCTATTTTTGTTTATGTTTCTATGGGCTGGCCAATGTGCAACAGTCTGGTAAAACAAAATTACGTTTGCGTTGGTTATTTTGAAGTTTAGTAGAAATCTCACTTCAAAGTTATGTTTAAGAGTATATTATTCCACTGGATTTTTAAGGCCTATATTATGTTATACATGTTTTCTGTTTATATCATCGTCATCATCATTACAGGCCTTCATAAGTCCACTGCTGAACATAGGCCTCCCGCAAGGAATGCCACAAAGCACGGTCCTGAGCCACCTGCATCCATCGACTTCCTGCATGTCTCACCAGGTCTTCACTCCATATAGTGGGGGGTCGCCTTACACTTCGCTTACCGGTACGAGGCTGCCACTCGAGTACCTTTCTTCCTCATCGGTTGTCGGTTCTTCGAGCTATATGTCCGGCCCACTGCCACTTCAGCTTACTAATCCGTTGGGCTATGCCGGTTACTCTGGTTATATTGCGGATATCCTCATTTCTAAGTTTATCACACAGAGACATCCCGAGCATAGCCCTCTCCATAGCTCGCTGAGCGACCTTGAGCTTCTTCATACGGCCAGCTGTGAAGGACCACGTCTCAGATCCGTAAGTCATCACTGGCAACACGCACTGCTTGTACAATTTCGTTTTCAGGTTTTGAGGTATGTCTAACGAGAAGATGTGTCGTAGTTTTCCGAACGCTGCCCAGCCGAGTTGAATCCGTCGATTGACCTCTCGGTCGA